ATATATATATATATATATATATATATATATAGAGAGAGAGAGAGAGAGAGAGAGAGAGAGAGAGAGAGAGAGAGAGAGAGAGAGAGAGAGAGAGAGAGAGAGAGAGAGATATGTAGAGGGAAAGAGATCACACACATATATATATATATATATATATATATATATATATATATATATATATATATATATATATATATATATATATATATATATATATATATATATATATATATATATATATATATATATATATATTCATATCTGTGTCAAAAAAATCAAGCATTTCGTTATATTTTCATAAGATATTATGATAGAAATTTGATACAATCCAGTAAAACATTCATCTTAATTATTATTCATAAAGAAATGGATCCACTGCTAAATTTAATTTTACATTAGGCTATTAAGAGGTGTGTTTGTATATTGGTAACATTTGTTATTAAATATTTATTATGTTTTGTTGCTATAGAGGAAAATAGTCATAATGATGAAATTATGCACTTTCATTCAGATTTCGTACTTGAAGATGGGTTAGAGATCCTTTAATTCATGATAAATTAAACTTGCTGAGGGGTTTACATCGTGTTTCCACACCTCTATGCACTGGCAAAGGCCAATCCTTATTTACATTAGTCATATTGTTTTTTTCCGTTACTATGCATCCTCAATGGTTGCTCTTGCACATTAATTGATTTCCACATGGCAAAGTGACATTTACACACTCCTGAAGGTATCTATGAAGCTGATATGAGCTGAGGAGGGTCGCTACGATAAGCGTCACGAGAGGTTTCGGGCTCCCGTATATGTTTCTCGTACGATGTGTTTACGACCTCGGGAGTGTTTTGAAAATACGCTCGTTGCGAGAAACTAGAGAGTAACTTGTTTTACGATATAAACAGACCATTTACGATATCGTAAGACGTTAGTAAATCCGGCCCTTGTATCTTGGGGGGGGGGGAAGGGCTAAAGAGAACAGTCATCAGCCTAAAGGATTGGGCGATGAATTTCAAGAACAGCAAGGGCGATATAACGATCCCATTTCTATAACACTGATCGCTATGAAAATTATATAATGCATGCCTGTTTGCATATAAAACGTACAATAAAGTAAAAAAAAAAAAAATTGTTTTTTATAGAACCTTTGTCAACAAAAGCGTCACTTTAAGGGAGATAACTCGAACCACAGATCTATCTATCAGTAGCAATCTGTCCATGGATATCCCGTGGACCACATTATCCTTGCACACATGATGGGTCCCCGGGCAAACCAAACAATATCATTGTTTTTGGTAAAAAATATCAATTATTTTGTTATTCTGTAATCGGAGCTGTGAACTCCGAGAGAGCCTTAAGAGTATGTAATCGTCTCCATTTTCCTGAAGGTGTGAATAGGCCTTCCCGGGTTTGATGTTCCGAGCGGCGTCGAGAGGAAGCTAGATGAATCCTTTTTAATCAAATACGATTTTCCATCTTGAATGTTTGGGTCTAAAGGAGGATTTTCTTGAAGGAGGGGGGAGAGAGAGACAGAGAGATAGAGACAGAGGCGGGGTTAGGGGGGGATAGGTCATATGCATTACAATGGCTGAATATATATGGGTAAAAGAAAGGGATGACCACTCACGCATCTTAATGAGCAGTTTTCACTGCACAATCAGTCCAGTCGTTGTGACCCTAGGACGTTGTTTACACCTTCCCTACTGGACTGCTACATTTTAATATTTGGGGTATGGCCTACATCTCAGGAAAGCAGTAGGAAGAGCGTGCTATTCAACTATTAGGTCAGGAGCTATTTTCAGGCTTGAACACTTTAGTTCAAGCATCTGGGGACGTTCCATCTGGAACAAGAAGCGTTTTCAGGGTGGATCTCGCCTTGGCTATGCCACAACTTTTCCTTCAGCCCGAGAATCTGGAGCAATCTCTCGCCGATAACATGACGAATGCTAAGATCGACACACAGTACTTTGTGAGTGAAGTTACAGTGTTATAGCTCTGGTGCACTGCACATCCCGACCAGAGCCTGTGTGATATCAGCGTCACTGTCGTGATCACGCCAGACTGAGGAGCCTGGGACGGTCCAGGAGCCCGAGAAGGAAGCCCAAGAGGAGGCACAGCTCCAGGTCTCCGACACGAAGGCGACGACTCAGTTGAGCCCCCGGACCCCCCCCCCACACACACACAATTACACAACACACACACACACACACACACACACACACACACATATATATATATATATATATATATATATATATATATATATATATATATATATATATATATATATATATGTGCGTGTGTGTGTATTTATATACATTTATTTACACACACACACACACACACACACACATATATATATATATATATATATATATTATATGTGTGTGTGTGTGTGTGTGTGTGTGTGTGTATGTATAATATATGTATATATGTATATATATGTGTATATGTAATATATACATATATATATGTATATATATAAATATGTACACACACACGCACCCACACCCATCACTTACACACACGCGCACACACACACACACACACACACACACACACACACACACACACACACACACACACACACATATATATATATATATATATATATATATATATATATATATATATATATACATGGCCATCTCCAGCAGACTCCAGCCATCGATAGTAGAGGTTACTCCAGTCGGTGAGCGTGTAATGGTAATGAGATTGAAGCTAGCATTTAGCTTCATTTCTCTTATTGCTGTGTACGCTCCTACCGATGCTTGTAATCTCTACGTGAAAGATATGTTCTACACCAAACTTGTATCTGTGTCAGACAATTGTCCCCAGCGAGATATTCATATTGTTCTGGGTGACTTAAATGTGGTATCTGGTTGTGACCGAGCTGGCTATGAGATGTCTGTCGGTCCCCATGGTTCGAGAGCTGGTACCGGCAGTGAGAATAGCCTCCTTTCCCGGGACTTTGCAAGGTCCCAGAAATTGAGGATTTCTGGTTCCTGTTACCAGCGCCCAGACCCACATCGCTGGACGTGGCAGAGCGAGTAATGCAGCCAGAGATCGACACCATACTCGTTAGCACTCGCTGGAAGATCCTCCAGAACTGCAGGGTGTATAGGTTCCGAGTTCTGTGGTACTGACCATATATTGGTTGTAGCTACCCTCCCCCACTTCAAAACTCCCTAGCGGTCTAATGATCACCCCAGGGTGTTTCAATTGGACAGGCTGAGGGAGGGGGAGTGTCAGGTTGACCCACCAACAGTTAACTTGGATGCGGGGAGTGCCGAGATCCCGTTTCCGAACCCACTCATCAGTGAGGATCCTCCCTCCCTAACTTAAGTTAGGCTGGCGATCTCCAAGCAGAAGACTGGAAAAGCAGCAGGTATCTGCGGCATCCCAGCTGAACTGTTAAAGGCTGGTGGTGAACCTATGGTGCGGGGGTTACATGCTGTCCAGGATGATACTAAATGTTATCCTAATTAAAGGAAAACGCAAGTGTTTTTAACCTTGTCTGAAAGAGAGAGAGAGAGTTATATATATGGTTAAAAAATTATAGTATTATATTTTTTATTATTCAACGGTATATATTTTATCTTATGAGCACGCCTGACCTTTTTATCAGTTACTTGATATAACGGAATGTGAAGTGAGTAATACTACTCTCTCTCACACACACACACACACACACACACAACACACACACACACACACACACACACACACACACACACACACACACACGCTGTAACCCAACTATATCTATATCTAGTTACTATATATATATATATATATATATATATATATATATATATATATATATATATATATATATATATGTATATATATGTATAATGTATATATATATATATATATTATATATATATATATATATATAATATATATATAATCTTACATGTTTGTCACATTCGTATCTTCACACATACATATGCATATATGCCTGATCATTGCTTCCTCTGTTCATTCCTCTCTTCTTGCCACACCAGGCATTAGAATGTTACGTTGTCTATCTCTTCCACAAGAGCTATGTATTGTTGTAACGCTTGCTTGTTCATCACCGGTCGTCACATGCTAACAACGTGACTTGGTGCGATTTTTAGACCATTGTATAGATCAGGCAGACTCCCTCCGGGGAGCTAAGGATCAACATCTCGCACCGAGGAGCAGCCGCACTCCAACATCATATTCAATAAATGGAGTTAAGACACTTTGGTTGTCTACCTTACACCCTAAGCTCGCCATCTACCAACTCTTGTAGGACCCAACATTTGGGCTCTTACACCCGCTCATTCATTCTCTCTCTCTCTCTCACGCAGACATACACACGCGCGATTTCCTTAATTCACTCACTCGCCTCTTTTCTCTCTCTCTCACAATCACTCATCTCTTCTCTCTCTCACACACGCACAAACTCACGGATTCATTCACTTTCTCTCTTTCTCTCTCTCTCTTTCCCTCACACGCACACACACGCGCGTGCTCTCTCATTCATTTACTCAGTCAACTCTTTTCTCTCTCACACACGCACACGCTCGCACGCACGCACGCGCACGCACGCACGCACGCACGCACGCACGCACGCTCGCTCGCACGCACGCACTCACTCACTCACTCACTCACTCACTCACTCACTCACTCACTCACTCACTCACTCACTCACTCACTCACTCACTCACTCACTCACTCACTCACTCACTCACTCACTCACTCACTCACTCACTCACTCACTCACTCACTCACTCACTCACTCACTCAGTAATAACACGTGATTCCTACACTCCGCTGGTGAAATCACACTGAAATGCGGATGCAGTACTTCATTTGTTTCACCGAGTGCTTTCCACCAATCAGAGAGAGGCTTTGGTTGGGTTCTAGATCCCTCGGCCAATCATCGCGCGGTATCGTTCCTCCTTCCTGGGACGTCAACACCGCATTTTGGGACAACCTGAGTATCCCAATATTTGGGGTAAAAACTCGCCAAAATGTACAACGAGTTTGTGGACGAGGTAAGAAATGACACTTTAAGAATGTAAGTTACAGGTTTTCTAGTCACTCGAAGGGTATTCTGAGTGCAAATGTAAATGAAACTCTGTCATAAAAGACGTGACTGAGGTTTCCTCTCAGGCGGTATTTTCCCCGGTGTTTTAATAAAACTTATATTCACATCTTTAGTATTTATTATTTTGAAGCTTCTGTGTCGCATAAATTGTGATTTTTAAAGTATTTTAGTTGCCTTTATGTTAGGCTTTTTTGTGAATGGTATATAGAAAATTATTTACTTATTTGACCGGCAGCTGGTAGTTTATTTCTGATCTTTCTGGGGATAATGTGCCGTACGAGGTATTAGTGGAGTTGGGTAATAAAACCTTTATGAAGTGATAGAATGATACAAACCAAGACAATTTTCTTCCATAGCAATAGTTGTGCAAATGCTTCTCAGAGGTGCTATACGTAAATGAACAGAAGTGAGAGCCCAATTTTAGCCGAGTAGTCATCAGATTTACATGTTGAGAGTAAACATTGAACTGACAGCAGAACTCATTACTGGGATGTGCGAAGTAGTTCATGTATTACTAAGCGATTGTCAAAAAGATCAAGTTGCTGTGCATCTCATAATGATGCTTTGTTAATTATCAGTGTCCGCTGTTTCACATAATGCTTTTAACAGCCTTTAACAATATTGTTATACCTCATTTACCTATTTTAAGATTTATTTATACATTTTTTTATGAGAATCTCACTGAAGGACTGTGTGCATGCATATATGTGCATTTCTGGCTGCGAGTTTTGACAGGAGGATTACCGGCCATTTGAAGGCAGAAGGCTGGTGAAAAATGTCTTGTTTTCGGTGTTGTATTGATTCTGGGTTATTCTTAAGACTATACAGTTGTAACGAAGGAGAGGTAGACAATAACTGTTACAGTTTGATATCTGAGCCTACCACATGCCCCAAATTCCTAAAAAAGTTATTAGAAGCAAAGCGATCCACAAAGTAGACTGACCAACTGAATGAAAGAAGTGAAGGAAAGTTGGACATTTTGATGTTATGATATATAAAAGTATTTGATTTATCTTTTACAATATGGATGTAGCTCTTATCTTGCCAGACATATGGAGGTGAAGAAAATGTGTCCCGGGGGGTGTTGGGGGCAGAGCCCCAAATTAACCCTCCTTTCAGGACATGCCCACCAAAGATGGTGGACATGTACATGGAGTTTCATTATCCGATTTAAATTTTTTTTTTTTTTTTTTTTTTTTTTTTTTGTAAATCTTTACGGTACAGACACACACACCAGACACTAAGTCCCCAATACCACTCAACAGTCATGGGGGACACTTAGGTAACCGTTTTTTTGGGGGGGATGGGTAAAGAATGGGCTCAGCTTGATTTCAGTGTCAGTAAATGACGCAAGTTGATTATGAATGCAATGAAGTGTGACTTTTTGGAAATGAGAGCCAAACTTCCTATTTACGTGGATCAAAGAAATGTGACTTCGGAAATGTGAGCCAAAATTTACATTTTCTAAAATCTAAGAATTGCGACTTTTCCAAAATGCGAGTGTCCAATTATGCCACTGTATTTGAGTATAAGAAAGCGCAAGTGCACACAGTAACCAACACAAAATTCACTCTACGGTCCAAGTTGCTGTGATTGGGCGCCGCTCCGCCCCCAACCACCCCTGGGAAACATACTCTTCACCTCGGTATGCATGGCAAAATAGAGCTGAAACAGTTCAGAAAATTGCACACCACCATAACACAAATGACATATCGGTCATTGTCATGGAGAAGAATGAGGCAGGTTACTGGTGTAGCCAGAAATTTGCGTGTATGTTAAGTGTCGGCTGTATTGTTTGAGTAGTTTGGCGATTAAAGATATTAATGTGGTAGCCAAAATTGAGGATCAAAATAGTAGGACAGAAGACGGTGTGGGAGATGCACAGCAACTTGATCTTTTGCACTGAATGAGTGGAGATAGCCGATAGAGCACCAAATGGACGTAGGCTGTGAGCGACGCTTTCCGTAACCTTTTTCCTTTATTTGTGGCGTTTTTTCCTTTATTTTTTATTTCCTTTATTTTTTATTCATGTCTGCAGATTATTTCTTGTACTAACCACTATTACTTTTTATCCCCTACAAGAATATCTTGAATTTCCCCTAACTTAGTGTGGCCATACCATAAAGATTTTGTTTTTTGTGCTAATTTTACGCATTCTTGTTTGTTTTTCTTATTTAAATCGTTTTTACCCCATAATTTCCATGATATACTCCATGCCCTCCCCTGCTATTGGAACTTACAAATCAAGATTGTCAATGGAAACGTTACTTAGATCTCCTCATTGAATTATTTGCACAAGAAGCAACTCCAAGAATTGTTGAAATTGGTGGAGTTCGTGGAAGATAAATATAAAAATTGTTTTGAAAGTAAGCCACTACCTTGTTCTCTATATTGACTGTATTTTATGCATTCCTTTATTTTTACTAAACTTCTTTGACATTTTGATAATTATGCTGTTCATACAAAAACATTTCCACATGCGCATTTTCACCACTGGGCCTTTAAAGAGGCTTGATTCCCCATTCCCCAACAAAAGGCTGGTGAGAAATGTTTCGTTTTCAGTGTTGTGTTGATTCCGAGTCATTTCAAAAAGAATATAGCGCCTATGCCGAAGAAATAGATGTTAGTAACTATCACTGCTTGATCCGTGAGCCCATCAAGTGCCCCAAATGCTAAAAAAAAAGTTACAAGAAACTAAGCCATTCAGACAATAGATAGAAATGCCCATAGAGTTTCATAGCTGTTAACCGATTGTAAACATTTTTTGTGCTGGTTTTATGCATTTGTTCTTTTTTTCTTAATTCAGCCTGTTTTACCTAGTAATTTCTCTGATGTACTTCATGCCCTCCCCTGCCATTGGCACTTAACAAATCAAGATTGTTGGCAGTAATTGTGATGTTAATAATCATCAGATTCGTTCTCATCACAAAAGAATAAATCTGATGGTTCAAATATTGTCTGGGAAGTCCTGATTGTCATAATTGAGAAAATAACCATTTTATTGCATTCCTTCACCATTATCCAAATAATGAACTGCATATGGAATAAATTCTGCTGTGCCTTACGCTTTTCTAGTGCTTTGATTAATTGTGTACCTTTTTCCCATTGAAAATGAGTTTTCATTATGCCTAACCCCGCCTTTCCAGTGATGTTTAGTTACTTATGTTATATATTTTTTGTTTTTATTAATTGAGTTTGGGATTATGAATTTGTGTTAAATGAATTTCATACTAGGTCGAAAATTAAGAAAATGAAAAGGCAAACATTATGCTTTTGGCAGCAGCTGTAGGAGCAGTGGATATTAGGGGGTTAGAGCATTGCTAGCGATCTGCTGTATTTCTGGCTGTCCACTTACTGTTGCTTACCTTTTATACCTTTAACTTTTTACTTCAATTTTTCCTTTTACCTTTTCCCTAAACCTTTTTGTTTTACTTGGCTTTACCTTTATAATATTATAACAGAGTCCAATGGTTAACTGTTTCTTAGAAACAGAGGATTGTTAGCTTTACTGCTAACATCCTCATGTGCCTTTTCATTGATTTTCGTTTGTTTTGTCTTGATTTCTGACCTCATATGAAATGCATTTAACATATTATGCTCCCCCACCCAAAAAACAAAAAGCTTGGTGATTGTAACCAAAAGCAGTGCACCCTCCAGAGACTAAGTCCCAAAACCAGGGTATCATGCAAACCCTAAAACCCAACCTATCCTTTCCTACCTTCTATTAATTCCCTAGATAGGGGGGCAAGCCCCCCTGTACCCCCATTTATTAGTACTTTGTGCCAGAAAACAGACATTAAGAATTCTGGTTGTGATATATAGGGGTTATTTTTGTCATTTAGCAGTGAATATGAGGCTGCAGCAGCTGTACCTATGTTGTTTCTTACTCCATTTCTAGTGCTCTATAAGGTGGCAGTGTCCATTTCCGTCTATCTCTGCATGTCGCTCTCAATTACTTATATGAAAAGCTTATAGCCCAGAGGTCTCCCAAGATCATTAAGGTCAAGGGGGTAGGCTTAACTCGAGAACTTGATATTTGTGAGGAACATGATCAATCAAATCAGTGCATGCATCCCTAAATTGTATAAGGCACATCAGAAAATTGTTGTTTCGGTGACATTCTAAATTGTCCTCTTTCTCTTTTATATTCATAAATTTCACATACATTAGCTTGTAAGATTACATGTAGCATCTATTATCATTAAAAAAAATGTTGTGGTATTTATTACATTGGGAATCCGCATTTTGTAAAGTGATTAAGTGGTGTGACCAAAGTTGGTATTTTTTATATAACTGGGAAGATTGCATGAAGAATATAGGAAAATTCAGGATAAAACACCCTGCAAGGAAAGAAATAATAAAACTTTGTTATTTTGGCCAGCTAATGTGTGATACTCCATTATAGAACTGGGATAAGACTTATAATATTCAGATAACTTTCTATCTGATCATTTGCTGTATTATACTGTATTTATAATGGTTTTCATTTCAGTACGAAAGTTATCCCCTTGAGGCAGCTGAGAACTACCAGTATGCCGACAGGTTAGAGGAGTATGGGGAACGAGGCCACTACCCGACCTACTCCATACCTGAAGAGGTCAAGAAATACATTACTTACTTCAGAGATGCGATAAGGGATGGCAATGTCTACGACATCCCACCTCTTTACGTTGAGTAAGTTTTTTTTATGAAGTGACCACACCCTCTGAGACAAAATCCACAAATGATGCTTTATGAGCCAAGAGGCAAAATACAATACTCAATTGTCATATTTCCCAAGCTTTGGGCTCCACCCACAGACCCCTACCTGATTGCCATGTCTCCACATAGTATCTAATATATCATGTGTACTTTTTTCTTTTCTTATGACAATGTCTTTAGATTTTCTCTAGTGTGTTAGTTTTGTAAGTATATCCCCTTTTTTTAGATAGCATATTCTGCATAGATATATAATTTTGAACATAATCCAATCTTTCATTAACTGCTTGTACCCACAGCTTTAACCGCTTGACTGAGGAATACTACAAGACACAGTCATGGCCAGATGTTGAGGACCTGTATGGCAACAAGCTGGTTGAGCAAGAAGGCCGGGATGACATTTTCCTTATCCTCTACCGAGAGTTATATTATCGGCACATTTATGCTCGAGTGCCAGGAGGCCCTACCATCCCACAGCGGTTTGAGTCATACTATAACTACTGCAATCTCTTCAATTACATTCTCAGTAAGTTGATGTGTTTCATATTTAATATTTATGATTATATTTTATAGTTTAAAAAGCCTATATTGTTTGTTTCAGAGCTTTGCTGTTCAACATCTACCTCTTCCTTATATTATTTTTGCCTTCTGTTATAGAATGAAAGAGTTTGATACTTGATGCTTTGGAAACTAAAGATGTTTTAACTTTATATCTTTAGTAGACTTTGGCAAGATTTTAAAAAAGTTAGTCAGTGATGCATAAGTGTAAGCGCTGTTTCATACGCTTGGTTAATTGTGGTAGTTTAAGGTGACTGATACCACTGCTTCACTATTTAATGGAATGTGATCAAACCTGTAATCAATATTATAGTATTCATAATTGCTGTTACAATTAGATTTATGTTATGTCATAATATTGTAACCAGTGCTTATACAAATACAACCACAGAAAAGCTATATTTTACATTGTTTTCCCAATATGCTTCTATATTACAATATATAAAGTGTACAGTGATATAGGTGTGCACATGATATGTGCAACTACCCATGGATATGTTTAATATGTACACACAGCGGGAACAGTCAAGGTCTTTAACAAGTCTCCAGATCAGTCTTTACGAACGTCTTCTCAGGTCAGTGTTAACTCTTTAACTACCCTGCACCCCACTGATGGACACCTTTGTGAGGTGCGCCCCACTCTATACAATTAAGGCATATTATATAAATACATTAACACAGGGTACCATGCCTATGGCGTTATCGGATTGCAGTTCAAATGGAAAGATTTACCTGAGCTGACCCAGGCATTTTGGAGAGGATGATACATGGTTGCGCTGTCATGCTGATGATGCCGGCGGCTACAATATGCGCATCTGCATTGATTATTATTATTGTTAATTATCTTTTTCTCCAACAGGTGCAGAGACCCCAGTGCCTCTAGAATTGCCTAATCAGTGGCTCTGGGAAATCATTGATGAGTTCATTTACCAGTTCCAGTCATTCTCCCAGTTCCGTTCCAAGCTTGGCAAGAAGAGCGAATCTGAAATTGAAATGTTAAAGGAATCTCCTAAGATATGGAATGTTCACTCTGTTCTGAATGTTCTTCACTGCTTGGTTGATAAGTCTAACATCAACAGGCAGCTTGAGGTGAGGTTGGATGACTGGATTTTATTTGTTGATAGTATCAGGACCTTCTGTTGTATTGGTTATTTTACTGGCTATTTGATTTTATTAAGCAAATTGTTAGATTATAATTGATATTCTTAGTAGATGCTTTTCTGATATATTCTTGCTAATATACTCCTAGGGGACTGTCTTTTTGGATTTTTATTTATTAGATCTAGATTTTTCATATTCACAGACTGAAGGAATTCTCAGTTTTTGATAAGAAAATCAGTAAAAAAAAAAATGTGGAAATTCTAAGGGAAATTTATGGATAGTAACTTTGGCCATAGGTTTTTAAGATTTGAGGTGGGTCTGGTTATTGGTCAGAAATATGACAATAGCTTCCAACTGAAGGGAAAAAGTCTTGGAGTTGGATATGTGCATTCAAAAGTTTATTTACATGTAGCTTATTCATCATTTGTGGGGAACTTCTATTGTTTTTTAGTAAAAACATCAATTTACATTAAATTACTGCTGTAGACTAGTAAATTCCAGCTGTATTTTTGTTGGCTTAAAGTATGTAAGCAAGCATTAATTTTTTTAGTCTGTTGGACTAAACCAGGGATGAGCTTAGCATTCTCATGGAAGCTAAACTAAGCAAAATTTACTGAAGAAATGTAAAGCATTTTTTTCATATTCATTCCAGAGCTACATTTACTTACTTATTACTTTACTTATAAATATATGATGTAGATTTATGGGAGAATTTATAACCACAGCATTCTAAGTCACAACTACATCAGTTGATAACAGTGCAATGCCCAGATATCTGAGGGAATATGCAGATTCACAATATTTAGCAATAACCAACCCCCCAAAAAAACATGTGTAGGTTTGGGAAGCATTAAGATGCTTTTTGAATAGTGAGAGATTTAAAAATTGCAAATGTCTTCAAAATGCCAAAATTCACATTTTCAACTCATGACTGTCCACTGAAGTCAGGCCTCCAAGTGTGGAACTGGTCTCCTAGTTTTCTTCTTTTCTCTTTCCTTCTCTTTCTGTAGCACACTATCTTTCTCTTTTTTTCTCTTGGAATATTGGATAGTAATAAAAAACTCAA